TATAGTCGCTTATTAGTTCCACAAGTTTTTTGTGGATTCTTAGACAGTCATGTCATCTGTGAACAAAGACAGCTTTATTTCTTCCTTGCCAATCAGTATATCTTTTATTTTCTGTTCTTGTCTTATTGTGTTAGCTAGGACTTCCAGTATGATACTGAGAGGGAGTGGTGAGGGGGGATAGCCTTGCCTTGTGCCTGATTTTAGTAGGAAAGCTTCTAAATACTTTCTTATCATTAAGTACATTGTTAGCTGTAGATTTGTTGTAGATGTTCTTTATCAAGTTGAGAACTTTCCCCCCATTCCTAGTTTCCTTAGAGTTGTCATCATGAATGGGTGTCGGATTTTGTCAAATGTTTTTTCTGCATCTATTAATATGATTGTGCGATTTTTCTTCTTTAGCCTGTTAATGAAATGAATTACATTAGTTGATTCTCAAATGTTGAAACAGGCTGCATACCTGAGATAAATCCCTTGGTTGTGCCATATAACTCTTTTTATTAATTACTGGATTCAATCTGATAATATTTTGCTGAGAATTCTTACATTTTTACCCCTTTATCATTATGTAATGCCTCTCTTTATACCTCATAATATTTCTTGCTTTGAATCTGCTGTCTGAGATTAATACAGCTACTCTAGCTTTGGAGTAGTGTTAGCATGTTATATCTTTCTCCATCTTTTTACTTTTAACCTATATGTATCTTTATATTTAAAGTTGGTTTTGTATATAAAATATATTTGGGACTTGTTTTTTGATTCATACTGACAGTCTCTATCTTTTAATTGGTGCATCTAGACTATCGACATTTAAAGTGATTACTGATATAGGTGGATTACTATCTATCATATTTGTTACTGTTTCCTATTCGTTGTCCTTCTTCTTTGTTACCGTTTTTGTCTTCTCCTTTTCTACCTTCTCTGGTGTTAATGCAGTATATTACATGATTCCATGTTTCCTTCTTTCTCAGCATATCAGCTATACTTCTTTATTTATTTACATCTTTATTGGAGTATAATTGCTTTACAATGGTGTGTTAGTTTCTGCTTTATAACAAAGTGAATCAGTTATACATATACATATGTTCCCATATACTTCTTTAAAAAAATTTAGGGGGCTTCCCTGGTGGCGCAGTGGTTGAGAGTCCGCCTGCCGATGCAGGGGACACGGGTTCGTGCCCTGGTCCGGGAAGATCCCACATGCCGTGGAACGGCTAGGCCCGTGAGCCAGGGCCGCTGAGCCTGACGTCCGGAGCCTGTGCTCCGCAACGGGAGAGGCCACAACAGTGAGAGGCCCGCATACCGAAAAAAAAAAAATTTAGTGGTTGCCCTAGAGTTTGCAATACATATTTACAGCTAATCCAAGTTCACCTTCAAATAGCAATATTGGATTCTTTGGTAGTACTAATACTTTACAATAACAAAATAATCCTAATTCCGCCCTCTAATCCCTTGTATCATTGCTGTCATCCACTTCAATTATACATAACTATAATCATCAAATGTTCTTGCTGTTATTACTTTTTTTAATGAGAAGATGGAATTGGAGCTAGGTTATTTTCAACTATTTATTTATTCAGCTGCGTTGGGTCTTAGTTGCGGCATGCGGGATCTTTTGTTGCGGCACACAGGCTCTTCATTGCGGTGAATGGGCTTCTTTCTAGTTGTGGCTCATGGGCTCCAGAGTGTGGGGGCTCAGTAGCTGCAGTGCACAGGCTCTCCAGTTGTGACATGTGGGCTCAGTGGTTGAGGCTCACAGGCTCTCTAGTTGTGGCACACGGGCTTAGCTGCCCTGCAGCATGTGGGATCTTAGTTCCCTGTCCAGGGATCGAACCCGTGTCCCCTGCATTGGAAGGCAGATTCTTAACCACTGGACCACCAGGGAAGTCCCACTATTATTATTTTGAACAAACAGTTATCTGTTAAATCAATAAAGAAAAATAAAAGTTTTTATTCTACCTTCACTTATTCATTCCCTATTGCCCTTCCTTTCTCTATTTGGATCTGAGTTTCTGACCTGACTCACTTTCCTTCTCTCTGAAGAACTTCTTTTAACACTTCTTGTAAGACAGGTCTTCTGGCAACAAATTTCCGCAATGGTTCTCTGTCTAAGAAAGTCTTTATCTCTCCTTCACTTTTAAAGGATAAAGTCACAGGACACAGAATTCTAGATTGGAAGGTTTTTTTCCCTCAACACTTATATACTTCATTTCACTATGTTTTTGCATAGGTGATTTCTGAGGAGAAATTGGTTGTAATTCTTATCTTTGCTCCTCTTTTGGTAAGGTGCTTTTTTCCCTCTGGCTTCTTTCAAGATTTTTTCATCTTTGATTTTCTGTCATTTGAATATGTTATGCCTAGGTGTAGTTTTTTCGTTTGTTTATTTTTGTTTTGTTTTTTGGCATTAGCCTCCTTGGTGTTCTCTGAGCTTCTTTAATCTGTGGTTCAGTGTCTGACATTAACTTGAGGAAATTCTCAATCATTATTGCTCTAAATATTGCTCCTGTTTCTTTCTCTTCCTTCTTCTGGCATTCTCATTATGTATATGTTATGCCTTTTGTAGTTACCCCATAGCTCCTAGATATTCTTTTCCATTTATTTCAGTTTTTTTTTCTGTTTGCTTTTCAGTTTAGTAAGTTTCAACTGACATATCTTCAACCTCATAGATCTTTTCCTCAGTTATGTACAATCTATAAATAAACCCACTGGCACTTCCCTGGTGGCTCAGTGGTTAAGAATCCGCCTGCCAATGTACGGGACATGGGTTCGATCCCTCATCTGGGAAGATGCCACATGCTGCAGAGCAACTAAGCCCTTGCACCACAACTACTGAGCCTGCACTCTAGACCCCACGAGCCACAACTACTGAGCCCGCGTGCCGCAACTGCTGAAGCCTGTGTGCCTAGAGCCCGTGCTCCGCAAGAGAAGCCACTGCAATGAGAAGCCCATGCACTGGAATGAAGAGTAGCCCCCACTCGCCGCAACTAGGGAAAAGCCTGTGTGCAGCAACAAAGACCCAATGCAGCCAAAATAAATAAATAAATAATAATTTTTTTTTTTTTTAACAAAGGGCTTCCCTGGTGGTGCAGTGGTTGAGAGTCCGCCTGCCGATGCAGGGGACATGGGTTCATGCCCCGGTCCGGGAAGATCCCACATGCCGCGGAGTGGCTGGGCCCATGAGCCATGGCCGCTGAGCCTGCGCGTCCAGAGCCTGTGCTCCGCAACGGGAGAGGCCACAACAGTGAGAGGCCCGCATATCGCAAAAAAAAAAAAAAAAAAAGCCCACCAAAGGCATTCTTCATTTCCATTTCAGTGATTTTAATTTCTAGCATTTCTTTTTGTTTCTTTCTCAGAATTTCCATCTTTCTGCTTACATTATCTATCTGTTCTTGCATATTGTCTATTTTTTCCATTAGCACCCTCAGCATATTAATCATAGTTATTTTAAATTCCTGATAATGTCAACATCACTGCAATATCAAAGTCTGGTTCTAATGCTTGCTCTGTCTCTTCAAACTGTGTTTTTTGCCTTTTAGTATGCCTTGTTATTTTTTGTTGAAAGGCACATATGATATACTTATTGGGTAAAAAGGTGGTAAATAGGCCTTTAGTCATGTAATGGTAAGGTGTAGGAGAAGGGGAAGGTTTCTATAGTCTGATGATTAGATCTGGGTCCTTCAGTGATACACACAAAGACAGAAAAAAGAGTACCTTTAAGGAAAAAGGATGACAGGATGAGTCTGGGACAAGTTGAGTCTGAGATAATTGTGAGATATCCTAATGGAGGCAGAGGTCTAGAAGGCAGTTGTGTGCCCAAGTCTGGAGTTTACTGGGAGCCATCCTGATTCATAATCTAGAAGTGGTCCTTATATAAATAGAAGTTAAAAGCCATGGTGTAGATGAGTGGGTGGAGTGAAAGGAAAGGCTTCGGACAAACTTTTTGGGAGCACTAACCCTTAAGGTATATACTGAGGGAAAGGAGCCATTAAAAAGACTGCGCAGCAAGGAAGAAGAGTGGTCTGTTCAGTAGAGCCATTTTAATAAAATTCAGCATCCATAACAAGTTTAAGAGTAAACTGGCAAATACTTCATCCTCCCTCTCTCTACACTCTGGTCCACTCTTAAAACACATCAAATGCATCCATGTTTCAGAGATTTTTCCCTGCCCGCTTCTCCTCCTCGCAAAGTTCTCTCCCCATGTCCTATCGACCACCATCAGAAATCCTACTCACCCTTCAGCAGCAGCTGGCATAGGAGCCTGGTGTAAAATGAAGGATGTTGCCCACCATCCAATTCTGCAAGGACTGAATCACTGGCCACTGCAGTCGCTGACCTACAGTGCATCCTGAAAGGAATTCAGGGTGAAGATCAGGAAAGTGGCACTCCGTGCTCTGGGAAAACAGGAGAAACAGGCCCTTAGATAGTGAGAAATATTTCAAGAGAAACTTTTTTATGAACCTGGATTCTCACACCTTCCCATGCACGAAAATCATTCACTTAAGATACCTGTTCCTCGGGACTAGCAATAACCTTCTAGGAGATAACACGCTGGATTACATGGACCTCCCTCCTCCAAATCACATATCTATTGGCCTCCCAAGACAACTCTTCTGAGGTATCTGAGAGGCTGTCTCCCACGCCACAGTCCCCACCAGGACACTGAATAAACTCACTGGTCGTCCCTTGCGCGTTTTTTTTCAAGTTGACGCTGGGAAGTGTCCTGAAGGCGCTTCCGTTTGGGGAGTGCCCTTTATTCTTCTTCAAACAGCTCAGCTGACGGAGACTCCCTCGAACAGCTGCATCTTACTCGCCTTGCGCTCTCAAGACGTGCCCACAAAGTGTGTAGAAGGAGCACAAAGACGGTGCAGTCCTCTCATGGCTTCTCACATGCTTCCAGAGAATTTAATTCCTGGCTCCTCACCTTCCACCACTCTCCTTTGTAAGCTTTATCGACGCTGCCTGGGCTACAGTCACACGGGGAAACCCTTTCCTGACAGATATAGTGCAGGGTGCCTGTCACGTGGCTCACGAAGCTGCCGCCACCAACCAGCCTCCTTAACACCCCTCCAGCTCCCCGCGAGACCACCTGGGCCTCCGCTGGCGCGTTGGCCGGGCCGCACCCCAGGCCCCGCCCCTCACGGCCCGGCCCCCGCAAACCCCGCCTCCACGCTCTCCCCGGCGCAGGCGGGACCGCGCCGGACGCACGCCCCACCCACATCCTCGATCTTTCATTGCGGTGGGGACTTTCCCGAGTCCTCGCTTCGCGCCGACCGGAATCCGAGAAGATGGCGAGCCAGGTATTGTCAGCTGCTACGCTGGCTGAGTCCAGAAAAGGAAGCGAGGGAGGGAAACTATGGAGCAGAACCGGGCCCCTGGCCGGGTCGGGGGGCGGGGGGACCGGGGGGGGAGTTAGGAGGTGAGGGGGAGACGCGCGGGGCCTGGCCCTGAGACGGCCTCCGGCTGCCGGAGCTGAAACGGGGCTTCGGGCGAGCGGTTCAGCAAGAAGGGAGGGAGGAAGCTTTGTTTCGACTCCGTTCGTGGGAGGGTTTTTGCTGCTGCTTTCTGGGACAGCCGAAGCGGGGTGGAGGTGGGGAGAACCGGAGAGTGGAGGTGAGGGGGGAGTCGGTCTCTAGCCTGGTGTTCTGGGGGTGGCTTAGGGGCCGCCACGCCTTGCGTACACAAAAATAAGTAACTTGCCCGGGGCCATACTTTTCGGTGGCAAAGCTGCCGCCAGAGTCCGTGCTCCTAACTCCTACGTTGCCTGTTTTTCACGATAGTAGTTCATAATTGAGCTATTACTGTGCCATCAAGGAATGTATTTTTTTTTTTTTTTTTTTTGCGGTACGCGGGCCTCTCACTGCTGTGGCCTCTCCCGCCGCGGAGCACAGGCTCCGGACGCGCAGGCCCAGCGGCCGTGGCTCACGGGCCCAGCCGCTCCACGGCACGCGGGATCCTCCCGGACCGGGGCACGAACCCGCGTCCCCCCCGCATCGGCAGGCGGACCCTCAACCACTGCGCCACCAGGGAAGCCCCAGGAATGTATTTTTGGAAGGCTCTTAAGGGCCCTTTCGGTAACGTTTTGGAGAACTTGGGCACCAGAGCTTTATACATATCCTCCTTTAATCCTTACATAACAGCTATGCAAGGTAGTAGCCCATTTTACAGACCAAAAACTTGAGGGTTAGTGGTTTGTGTGCTTAGTGATAATACTAAACATAGTGAGCCGGGGTTCCGAACCTTGTGCAACAGACTATTATTGCAAGTTCTTGAAATACACATTAGACAATAAACAAAGGCAGAAATATATGAGTAATATGATTAATCCGTCTAAAGTTGCTGATTGTTTTAATGCTTTGCAAACAGATTTTCTAAAAAGATTTGGACTTGAATAGAAATGGTAAATTCTAAACGATCTTTCAGATTTAACAAGTTGGCAGGGTTTTTTCCTTATTACCAAGTGCCTTCAGCAGAGAATGTGAAAAATTATAATTCCTGTGATAGTTCAGATGTTGAAGTAGAGCAAATTGCGTGTGGATTTAGTGTGGGGCTTTGTTTTGTTTAGAATTGTCATTGACAGGAAAAGGTTAAACTTTCACATATGCTTTAAAAGGGTGGAGAAGGGACTTAAAGCTTAGATTATGGATGATTTATTCTTGTTGCTTCAGATCTCTAGAATATGTGACTTCATTGTTAGTATTCTGAATTTTACCTTTGGAGTTTTGTTTTGAAATTTATGGTACATTGAGGTGAAAAAAGATTCTAATGCAGTGTATGAATTTTTTTTACCAGATTGATTGATCAGATTTAATATCTACATTTTAATTTTAAAAGTGATCATTTCCAGCCTCGCCAATTAACAACAAGCCACTCATCCTTCTGCATAGTTCAGTTCTTTTTCTCTACTCTTTGTTCTCTTGCTACTAATAACTACCACCTTATTTCTGCAAAGCTACACTGTATCAAGGACTGTATAAGGGGCTTCATATTCACCACAGTCACTCTATATGTAGATATTTTATCTTTATGTAACTAACTCTTCCTCATCTTTCCGCATCCCAGTTAAAAGTGACGCTTTCCCAAACCCACCAACCAAAGTTACACTCTTTCTCCTCATTTTGCATTCTGTAGCACTTTGTGCCTATCCCTTTAAATCACACTTTTTGTAATCGTTAGCTTTCAAGTCTGTCTCCTATAAACCCATTGCAATCTTTATTCTGTGAACATGCTTCATAAGCATTATGTGAACAAGTCAAAACCTTCCTTATTACACTTCATTCTCTGGTAAAGGAGGCGTGTACTGACTAGACTCTGAAGTAGCACTATACTATAGAAATACAGTATGAGTCACATATATAATTTTAAGTTTTCTATTAGCCACATTAAAACGGTATTAAGTTGGATTAAAACTTAACCCAATGTAGTCAAAATACTATCGCAACATGTAATCAATATTTTTTTAATATTATTGAAATATTTTAATTTTTTTATACTAACTCTTCAAAATCTGGGTATATTTTCTACTTACAGCTTATCTCAGTTCAGACTGGCCATTTTTCAAGCACTCAAAAGCCACACATGGCAAGTGGCTACTGTGTTGGATAGCACAGTTGAAAGGGATAGATGTAGGGTTTTTTTTAATTCCCCCATTCTGATACTTTTCCTTACGCTCCTTCCCACGGTGCAGTTTTGCACTAAACCAGTGTTACTTAAACCAGCCTGAGCAAAAGAATTTCGTAGGGCACATCTTAAGCATTCAGATTCCTTGGACCCTGTACCAGACTAGAATCAGATTTTCTTGGAACCTGTATTGTTAACCAGCTCCTGTTTATGCATTGTAGAGGGTCATTAAATATTTGATGAGTGAAACTTTATTTTTTTTATGGGGGGGGCATGCGGTTTGCAGGGATCTTAGTTTCCCCGGAACAGGGATTGAAAGTGGGCCCCAGCAGTGAAAGCGCCGAGTCCTAACCACGGGACTGCCAGGGAATTCCTGAATTAAACTTCTTCATGTGGTCATCTCGATTAAAGCTTTTTAATGAATATCACTTACACGAAGTATAAACACGTGCCAGACAGTTCTCCATATCACTTAGAGTTATATGTGTCTTTGTGAATTTGTGATATACTTTCTAAGATTAGCATTCCAGCATCTAAATTAACTAATAAGTAGTTTGTTACTAGTTCAGGAGGATAAACATCTTGCTCTGTTTTCCCCATTTCAGGTTATCAAATGTAAGGCTGCGGTTGCCTGGGAGGCTAGAAAGCCTCTCTCCATAGAGGAGATAGAGGTGGCACCCCCAAAGGCTCATGAAGTTCGAATTAAGGTAATGAAACATCCAAGGCACTGGGAGAAAAAGGCTTACAATTAGGTCTCTGGATAGATGAGTCCTCTGAGGTCTGCAGAGGAGAAATCCCAAAGGACAGTGTCAAGGAGAAGGTATTGAACGTCATCCAACCTTGGAATCACAGCCTCTTATTTTATCCCTCTCACCTTTGCAGCAGTCTTCTCCCATCTTTTTAGCTTTGGTGTTGTGCTGAGCAGCCTTCTCCATGGATCATTGGATTACTGCATTTTATCTTCTGTAGTCTGGGTTTAAGGTGGCTTGGTAGGATGCTCCCCTTTCTGCTGATCCCATAAGTTAAAATCTATGGTGACACATTAGAAACAAAAGAAGAAAGAAATGGTCTTTGGATTGTTAGAAGAAACTTCAAATAAGATTTAGGAAGAGGTTCCTAATTGATTAGACCAACAAGCAAGTGAAGTAAGCTTGCTAAGAGAGCTTTAAAATGTACTGACCCTTGCAGACAAGGCCAGGGTTCAGGGGATTCACTATTGCAGTGCTTCTCAACCTCTGCTGTGGCAGGGAAGTTGAAGTTACCCCTGGAGAGAGTCATACTGCACAAGGCAGGCAGCTGGATGTTCTGGCATTCTCCTCTGTACTTGTTTTCATATAAAATCAGTGCTTTAAAGTAGTGAACATTGAATAAAACTAACCTCTAGAAAAAATAAGCATTTTTTGCTGTGAATTGGAGTATACTTACCCCATCCCACCTCCAATTCTCAGGTTCCCAGGGGTCACACTGAACAGGTTGAGAAGCCAGAGCCAAATAACTTTCAGATCCTTTTAACCCAGGCCCAGGGATCTGAAATCTTAGACTGGTGTGTATGTTTTTCTTTAAGTTCAGAAATCAGCCTGGTTGTGATTTTGCTACTAAAAAAGAAAGTGTTGGTCCTGGATGTACTAAAATGAGCCGTATCGGGCACACTGAGTTCAGCAGGCTTCCTTGGGAAACGGCTAACAAACAGCCAAGAATGTTACATTGTAATTGGATATATTTGTGAGAAGCATAGAAGCATAAATACAGACACCCCCAAGACTTTTCCTTTCTGTGCTTTTGGTAGTTTGGAGAAGTGAGAGGTGCTTGAAGGCTAGAGAAATCGGGATAAAGGGCTTATTGAAGTAGAAATTGTGTGTGGCTGCTAAAAGGGGAGTTGGTTCCAGTAAAACCTCTGAGTTTTGGCCCAGACCAAGCAGGCTGACGTATTTCAGAAATAGCCAATACCTTATTAGAAATCGCATTCCCCAGCAGTTAGGAGGAGGCCAGCAGTGAGATGGGCTCCACCTGCTTTTGCACACAGGGGATGTTCCTCTCCACACCTGCAGACGGCACAGTGCCCAAAACATCACCTTGTTTACCTTCTCCTGCTAACATGCACTGAAAAGGAGAATAGATGTACCATGTTTCATTGCCTATAAATGCACCGTTACTTTTAAGTACCACTAAGAAAATGCTGCCAGTTCTAATTAAGATGCCATAGAGTTTAAGCATATGCTGATTTTAGAGAGGTTAAAATATGAAAGAATTGTATCTTCTAATCAATAAAATGTTATTAAAGTAAAAGTGCCTCCACCTATGCCTCACTGAATCGCATGCACACACGTAGACACTTTAATACCCTGTTAGATTATTGCCACTGCAGTTTGCCACACTGACGCCTATACCCTGAGTGGGGCTGATCCTGAAGGGAGTTTTCCAGTGATCTTGGGACATGAAGGTGCTGGAATTGTGGAAAGTGTTGGTGAAGGAGTTACTAAGCTGAAGGCAGGTAAGGAGAGTATTTGAATCACTTATTTTACAATTTTGGCTTATTTCTATAGGGAAATTATGTTTCTCATTACTTATACATTGTTTATTTGTGAATAAGTTATCGCCTCAGTAAGTTGTCAAGATTGATTTTATACGCCTCATCTGAAAAGCACAAATATTTGAGAGTTTCTTTCTCTCTGATTATGCAGACTGCTGTTTATCTGAAATGGTTTAAGTACATCGCCAAAGCAAATTTTGCCCAATTACGCAAGAATTTTTGAAGATGCATTGAGTCAGTGTTTTGAAGCACATGACCTCCTTGTTCTCCACGTACTGTTTTAAAAGTTTCACTTAGACAGAAATTTGAAGCTTGTATTTTTTGCATAGGCAGTGTCTGAATGATGTCATGTAGGTAAAGTTCTAGGTCTTAAAGTTGTTAACTTTGCAAAGCTGCATGGATTGACAAGAATGGGAATTTGGGGGACTTCCCTGGTGGAGCAGTGGTTAAGAATCCGCCTGCCAGTGCAAGGGACAAGGGTTCGAGCCCTGGTCCAGGAAGATCCCACATGCTCCAGAGCAGCTAAGCCCGTGTGCCACAACTACTGAGCCTGCACTCTAGAGCCCGCAAGCCACAACTACTGAAACCCGCGCGCCTACAGCCCATGCTCCACGACAAGAAACGCCACCACAATGAGAAGCCCATGCACCGCAACGAAGAGTAGCCCCCGCTTACCGCAACTAGAGAAAGCCTGCACACAGCAACGAAGACCCAATGCAGCCAAAAATAAATAAATAAATTTTTTTAAATTAAAAAAAATGGGAATTTGCAGGGGCTGATGTATTCATTTAGAATCAGATGCTGCCTATTCAGGATAATGTCCTTGCATTTGTTTTCCAGGTGATACTGTCATCCCACTTTACATCCCACAGTGTGGAGAGTGCAAATTTTGTCTAAATCCTAAAACGAACCTTTGCCAGAAGATAAGGTTAGTATCTTTTTATTTTATTCTTAAAACAAGAGGTAACACTAATCATGATAATATCATGATAATAAGTAATTACGTGGCAATTTATACAGGGCATTTTACATGAATTATTTCATTCCATCTTTAGGGCAACCTATCATTATCATTGCTATCACTATATTCATAGATGAGAAAATTTAGACCCAGAAATTAAGTGGTGTGCCCAGCATCATCAGCTGTTAAGAGGTACCTCACAAATTTCTGAACCCATTCTCTTTCCATAACACTAGGCTAAATTTGCCAAAATATGTAGTAAGGAGGGACATGCTTATGAAATTAAATGAAGTCATTTTTATGAGCCATTTTATTGTCCATGAAATTGAAGTAATAAAACTTAGCTCATAAGGTTTTGGGAAGACTACAAGAGATAACATAACCTTTTGACACAGAAAAGGTGGTTATTTGATTGTAGCAAGGTAACACACTTAAAGAACTTCAAGGCATTTAAGATCTTGTGTCTGTTCGCCCCTTTTTTGTCTTTTTTATTGAAGTAGAACATACATATAATGAAGTAATTAAAGTATACAAATCTTAAGTGTACAGCTCCATGAATTTTTATACATATACACACCTAATAGTTATAACCATCACCCAGATCAAGATAGAGAACCCTTCCAGCAGCCCACAAAGTTCTTCATGTCCCATACAAGTCAACATCTGCCTCCCTCAAAGCTAACCACTATTTTGATATCTTTCACTGTAGGACTTCATATAAACAGAATTATGCAATATGTGCTGTTTTGTCTGGCTTCCTTCGAGATGTATCCAGGTTGCTCTGTGCATCAGTGATTTTCTTTTACATTCCATTCCAAATAATCACTGTTAATCCATTCTCCTGTTCACGGACATTTACGTTGCTGCCAGTTTGGACCTGTTGTGATTAGTGCCACTATAAGCATTCATATATGTCTCTTGGTGGACATATACACAACTTTCTCTTGGGTATTTCCCTAGGATTGAAATTGCTGAGTCATGGGATATACTCCCACCAGCAGTGTTTGGGAGATCTGTTTATTTTTGCATTTTTTTCTAATGCCATTGACAAAATTAGTTTCTATTTTTGGAAATAAGGTTCCATTTATTTTATCACGTAAATCCAGTTAAAAAGCTAGAACCGGGCTTCCCTGGTGGCGCAGTGGTTGAGAGTCCGCCTGCCGATGCAGGGGACACGGGTTCGTGCCCCAGTCTGGGAGGATCCCACATGCCATGGAGCGGCTGGGCCCGTGAGCCATGGCTGCTGAGCGTGCACGTCCGGAGCCTGTGCTCCGCAATGGGAGAGGCCACAACAGTGAGAGGCCCGTGTACCGCAAAAAAAAAAAAAAAAAAAAAAAAGCTAGAACCAAAAAAAGAAAAAAACTAGGCATTTTGAAAGGGAATTCCAAACACGGTCTGAAAAAATTTTGACACGTCAGATATAATAATGGTAATAGGTTTTTTTGTGGCTGTCTGTAACCTTTTAGAAGGACAAGTCCTTTCAAAGCTTAAAATACATCCCATATCACCTTTTGTTCAAGAAACTCTTCTGGGACAGGAGCAATTTCTCACATTCAGAGCTAAACAAACTTAACTTGCTCTCATAAAGATACAAGTTATTTATCGTAGAGCTTTGTCACCTATTTGTTGTTTGTTTCTGATCATATTTTTGTTTTTCTCCTAAAGGAAATGTACTTATTCTTGAATCCAGAGGCAATCCATTTTTCTTCATCTATATATATTCATTTATTCACATGTATTCCAAAGGATTTGTCCAAGAATGTACATCAAATTGTAGTGTTTATTTTTGTTAAAATAACATATATATTAAGCACTCTGTGCCAGGCACAGTGCTAGTGCTTTACATAACCTCATTTGATCTTTATAGCAATGTCTAAGAAAGATAGATTTCTCTGATTTTCTGGTGAGGAAACTAAGGCACAAAAGTTAATTCACTTGCTCAGGAGCACGTGGGATTTGAGCACAAGTGTGTCTGCCTTTAGGGCCCATGTTCCTAAGCAAGATGTTACATCACCTATTTAGAATATCAAAAATAATTTTTGTTACCATGTATCGTATCAGTGGTGAGAGCTACACTCTTGAAATAGGTCTCCTGAAAGGTCTAAATCAGCCAGTGTGGACATCTACTTTCATCAGCTGATGTGGATAGTTGCTTGTAATCTTTGCTGTGTAGATGCTGGTTTTGGCTTTATGAAGTTATATTTGGTCACAGAGTTTTACGATGGAATTTTAAAATCATTTCATCTGATCCATAAATTGTACCTGTTAAAATTATTTCAATACTCTGACAGTATAATCCAGAAGCATATTGAATGCTGGAAAAGATAGGTAAGATTATAATTCTTTTATAAGTTTTCCTAATAAGGCATTGCTGAAAGGTGCTAAATTAATGAATATATTAGAAATTAGACTTTTGGTCTTAGCACACTCTTCTGTTTACTGGTCATTATTTTTAAAATTGATTTCTTTTTCCTGTGCATTTTAGGAAACTTGATTCTACCCTACCTTCTTCCTTTTTTATTTTCTTTAGAGTCACTCAAGGGAAAGGATTAATGCCAGATGGCACTAGCAGATTTACTTGTAAAGGAAAGACAATTTTACATTACATGGGAACCAGCACATTTTCTGAATACACAGTTGTGGCTGATATCTCTGTTGCTAAAATTGATCCTTTAGCCCCTTTGGATAAAGTCTGCCTTCTGGGTTGTGGCATTTCAACTGGTTATGGTGCTGTTGTGAACACTGCCAAGGTAAGTGTTGGCCTGGGTTTTAGCGTCCACCTTCTAATTTCATACAACAAAGCCTTGCTGGAATAGTGAAATAGGCCCAAACAGTAAGAAACCTAATGATTTCCTTGACTCTTGTGAAATGAGTACCTTATAGACTGTCTTTACTATTAGGTGGAGCCTGGCTCTACTTGTGCCGTCTTTGGCCTGGGAGGAGTTGGATTGGCAGTTATCATGGGCTGTAAGGTGGCTGGTGCATCCCGGATCATTGGTGTGGACATCAATAAAGATAAATTCACAAGGGCTAAGGAGTTTGGGGCCTCTGAGTGTATTAACCCCCAGGACTTCAGTAAACCTATCCAGGAAGTGCTCGTTGAGATGACTGATGGGGGAGTGGACTATTCCTTTGAGTGTATTGGCAACGTTAAAGTCATGGTGAGTATGCTTGGCTTCATTCCAAGTGGTGGTGGGGGGGCTGCTTTTTTTAATGTAATTTCTTTAATTAAGGTCAAAAATTGTTTTGTTTTGTAAAGGAAAAGTCTTGAATTCCCTGATAAGAAGGGAAAATGACTACTTGAACTAGAAATTGGAAATGATACAAGGGAAAGATGAAGGGAAATGTTTCTTTGCTTTTCAGTGTACACATAAATCTCAGAGTATGTTTCATTAAATGAAAAGGCAAAACGATGCAGCTGTAGAGAACATGGGCTTTGGAATTAGATATATGTCCACTTACTAACTCAGTGACCTTGAGCAACTACTTAACTTCTCTAAACCTGTTTCCTTATGTGTAAAATGCAGATAGTAACTGTAGGTACCTGACACAAAGTAGACACTCAGCAGAAGTATAGTTATTACTTCTCTGCCTGCTGCCTTTATTAAGCCTTTAGAATTTTGAGCTAAGATTTACTTTTTAAAATAACAAATGAAAGCTTTTTATTTTCAATTTGTGTCAGTGTTGGGCCAAGTTCGTAAATTTTTTTAAATACCTGTTAAAATTGTTCAATAAAATTAAACTTACTAAATACTCACTTTGGACATTTTGTTGCCGTTTTTCTAATAAGCTCTGTACCACCACCCTCTCCCCCGGAAGTTTCTGGGGAAGCAGATATTCTCAGCACAGTGCACTGACCTCTGTGATTTGCCTGCAGAGAGCAGCGCTGGAGGCCTGCCACAAAGGCTGGGGCGTCAGCGTGGTGGTTGGAGTAGCTGCCTCAGGTGAAGAAGTTGCCACTCGTCCATTCCAGCTGGTAACAGGCCGCACGTGGAAAGGCACTGCCTTTGGAGGTAATTTGGTGGATGAGATGAGTACATTTTCTCTTTTGTTACTTCCATTGGCAGAATTTTAATCCTAGTCAGCATTTACCCCTGGGACTGGGGAGGTGCTCAGCTTCTCCTGAAGCACAAGGCTACTTCTTACACATTGAAAAAAATATTAATATTCTGTTAATGAAATAGTTGAGGGTAGGTCAGGAGTGAGAAGCTGGTTACAGGATAAGCAAACGACAGTATCAGCCACCCTGTGCCGTGTTGTAGACTTACATAGGTTATTGGCATTTTTTACTCATTTGTCCAGAGAGTACAGTGATCCCTGGATGTGATCATACTTCCATCTGAATAGCACTGATTTCAGCAGTAAACAATACTAAGTCTTAAACTGAAAATATTAAATTTGACAAAACCTTACAACAAAATTGAAAAGCTGCCAGACTGATCATTTTTCCCTTGTATGATCCTAAAAGTATGTGGTTGTTTGGGGTTGCCTAACTACCAGCAGAATGCTGAGAAAGTTTCCACCTTTTTCAAGGTTGCTCAGCTAGAGAAGAGAAAAGACATCAAAACATGTTTGTAGGGGCTTCCATAGTGGCACAGTGGTTGAGAATCTGCCTGCTAATGCAGGGGACACGGGTTCGAGCCCTGGTCTGGGAGGATCCCATATGCCGCGGAGCAACTGGGCCCGTGAGCCACAACTGAGCCTGCGCGTCTGGAGCCTGTGCTCCGCAACAAGAGAGGCCACGATAGTGAGAGGCCCGCGCACCGCGATGAAGAGTGGCCCCCGCTTGCCACAACTAGAGAAAGCCCTCGCACAGAAACGAAGACCCAACACAGCAAAAATTAATTAATTAATTAATTAACTCCTACCCCCAACATCTAAAAAAAAACTATTAAAAAAACAGCTGTTTATTTCAAAAAAAAAAAACATGTTTGTATATCCCAACTGTTGTGAATAAATGAAATCTAAAGTTTTTCATAGATTTTTAAAAAATATATTTATATCCTTACCATCCTCCTAAGGAGAAAGAATTACATAGCATGAGGGTTTTTTTCCTCAAGAATTTGCATTTCTTTTTTTTTTAACATCTTTATTGGAGTATAATTGCTTTACAATGGTGTGTTAGTTTCTGCTGTATAACAAAGTAATCAGCTATGCATATACATATATCCCCATATCTCCTCCCTCTTTCATCTCCCTCCCACCCTCCCTATCCCACCCCTCTAGGTGGTCACAAAGCACAGAGCTGATCTCCTGTGCTATGCGGCTGCTTCCACAAGCTATCTTTTTTACATTTGGTAGTGTATATAAGTCCATGACACTCTCTTACTTTGTCCCAGCTTACCCTTCCCCCTCCCCATGTCCTCAAGTCCATTCTCTAATAGCATGAGTTTTTAATGATCTGTGTTTAAGCAAAGTGTCCCCTACCTCATGCCAGCTTTTGTTTCAAGGCCAAAAGAAAAGATTAGGAAGGTATGAAAAATGAGGGGTTTGGTCAGAGTTTTCCTTCCTTATACTACAGAATTTGTCAAGGCAAATGTCAAACTGACTAAACCCTCTTTTCCAAACCGCTACATGTATGCCGCACTTGAGTATTTTAAACGGACAGACTTTCAGAGCCATACGTGCAGCTCAGGGGCATCATCTCAGGGTCCATAGCTGTATTTGAAAGGGTGTTCTTAGTCCGGGAGACTGAGCCAGGGGGTTTGGTAGTCACCTCTCACTGAAGCCTCATCCAAGCACATGCTTATTGGGAAATAAGCTGGAGCCTTGGGGCCCCATGGGTGTTGCTAAAATATGACTCACAAATGTAAACAGAAGTTTCAGTTCAGGGAATGGCAGTGGCTGTGGTTGTCTCAGTTACCAGGAGATTTAAAGGAGAAAAAAAAGCACTGCAGTTTGGAAGGAAAGGGTAACTGGTAGAGGACACAAGAAGGGAGATTTGGGAAAGGCTCAAAAGAGGTTTGAAATGTGGTCCAAAGACTCCCTGGTTTAAAAGGTGGGAAGGCATCTTTGTTGATTTACTGCTTCTTTCAACACAAGTGAGAAATTGAAGGATCTGATTTTGTTTAAAATGGTAACCTGTAACTAAAGATCACCTACTTTGCTTTTCAATTTCAGTTTTCTCTTCTGAGATGGTATCCTTATTGTTGAAATTAAAACCACAGAAATAGTCATGTATCACATCAGTTTTTTTCTTCCTTGAATTTCACGATTACAGAAATCTTTGCTGTTGTGGACTTAAATAAGCTTATTCTGATTCTAGAGTTCTATCCTGTATGGTATAAAAATCTCCATTAAGATTTAATGAGATTTTAGTAAACCTTAATACAGAAAAAGTAAGTGCTCAAAAGGCATTTACTTTTTTCTTAATTAAAGATGTGCATTTCTTCTTCCTCTCTATGCTGATTTTGAAGTCTTTCATTCCTCTTTAGTTCGTGAAAAAATTCATTCTCTTAAATGTCTTTGTCACCCACTAAGTAATAAGCATACTGTAGAGATTTGTTGGAAAACTTAATGAGTAGATATATGATTTCTTTTAGGATGGAAGAGTGTAGAAAGCATCCCAAAGTTGGTGTCCGAATATATGTCCAAAAAAATAAAGATTGAAGAATTTGTGACTCACAATTTGCCTTTTAACCAAATTAACGAAGCCTTTGAACTGATGCATGCAGGAAAGAGGTGAGCTTTCTCTTTAGCTGTTTAATGTAGAATGTGGTAATGATTTGGGGCTTATGCAGGGAGAAGGGTAAAAAAAAACAGTTTTAGTGGTCTTCAAAGAAATCATTCAGAACCTGTTTATTTCTTTCTTCTCTTACAGCATCCGAACTGTTTTAAAGCTTTAAATTCAAAAGAGAAAAATTCTTCCATCCTTATAACTAAGTCTTGTGGTCTGATTGGAGCAGCCAGACAAGCAGGAAGGAGCTCTTTCAAGTTCACATCTTCTTAGACCTTCATTAACTGACTCTGGGGAATAATGTTTTCTGTATAAATTCATAAATGTCTAATCAAGGACAAGGCTAATACTGTCATAAGTCTGTTTTCTGGACTCTTCACATAAATAATTGCTGGCTCATTAAGGAATATTTTTAACATAATAAAAGGCATTTCTGCATATGTGTGGAAGTTGTCAGCTCTGTTGTATGTCAAATTCTTTGTCATGGTTGCTCTCCCCATTATCTTCATTCTTTAAAGGAAAGATGGAGGAAGAAGGGCGGTGGTGAGTATGTGAACCTTGTCTTCTACTGTCCTTGGTAACTTTCGCTTAACTTTTAAGGGTCTCAGGCCCATTTACTAAAGAACAAATTTCTCCAATCAGCAGTAGCACAGTTAATCAGAACCCAGATCTGCTTCTGTGAGATTATCTTCTTGTGGGCAAGTACCATGCATTGTTCAGACTTAGACTCCTAATTCCTAGTATGACATCTGGCCCACAAATTCATCATTGAAACTACCTTCTGAGCTTAAGTAGGTATATATGTGTTGTTGGTCACTCTGAACTATTTCAAGCATATGGAAAATATTTATATACTGAATACCCAAATTTCCAGTCCTTATTTTGTCAAATCTTAACATCTTACTCTTCCAGGCCACTTTGCCTTTCCTCTTCTGCGGTATAGTCGACATCCAGAATTGGGTGTTTATCACTCCCATGCATATTGCCATACTTTGACTACACATATCCGTAAACCCTTTAGTCTTCAGTATTGTCATACATGTTTTAAACATGATACTGTCTCATTCTGCAGCTTTCATTTTTCACTCATTATTTTGTGCTTAATCCCTCTTGTAGGTGATGCTCCCATTCATTAATTTCAGTACTGTGCAGTAGTCAATTATATGAACTACCGTAATTTATCTGTCTCCAGTTGATAGCATATAGTTGTTGACCACATTGTTTCTGTACTGCTAACAACACTGGTGGAACATCCTTGTACAGTGTGCTCAGTGCATTAGTTATGAAGGATGTGTACCATAGGATAAACACATTTTAAACCTTACTAGAAATTGTCAAATTGCTCCTAAATGTGGTTGGACATTTTTGCAAATCAGATGGGTGTGAAATGACTTTTATTTGCCTTTCCCTTAATGACTAAAGTCTTTTTTTTTTTTTTTTTTTTTTGGCCGTGGCACACAGCATGGTGGGATCTTAGTTCCCTGACCAGGGGTGGAACCTGAGCCCCCTGCATTGGGAGTGCAGAGTCTTAACCACTGGACCGCCAGGGAGGTCCCAAGTCTTTCATTCTTTTGGCCATTTGTATTTCCTTTTTTGTGAGGCATCTGTTCACATCCTTTGCCCATTTTTCTGTTGGATTACTTCTCTTTTTCTGAGTAATTTTTAGGGGTTCTTTATTCTAGATGCCAATCCTTTGTAAGTTTTATATTAATATATTTTATATTTCTTAATTTTTATTTTAGTATAGTCAAATCTATCAGTCTTTTCCTGGTGCTTTTAAGTAACATTTAGGTTTCTTTACCCTGAGCAGAATAAAGCAGCAAACGAAAATGATGCATAGTCTTACCATCCAGGTGATCCATTAACACAAAAATAAATACATGAAGGCAATACATCCAAGAGTTAGAACATTCAAATAGTAGAGAAAATTGCATAAGAAAAGCTACACTTCCCTCTCCCCCCAAAAAAATAGGTGACCACTATTTAGTTTATGTATCTTCCCAAAAGTTTCTATGAATATAATAGCATTTATACATATACTTTAACACGAAGGAATACTATTAACACTATTCTGTGCTTCCCCCCGCCCCCCGGTCTCCATACCGTTTATTTCTCCGTCCCGGGAGGTGGGGTCGCTGGGGGCGGGGCGGGCAGAAAACCGCGTGCGGGCTGCGGGCCTGGGGCAGGGGACTCCGGAGCGCGACGTGCAGACGAAGGTGGAGCCGTTCCAGCCCACGTTGGCCGCGTTCATATCGTAGTAGTTGATGTAGATCCTGCCCGGGCTGACGCGCAGGCGTCACAGCAGCTTGCTGTCGGAACGGTTCTGCGCGCCGCCGATCTTGGCGATGCTGTGCAGGCTGCAGAGCGCGCACGGCTCGCTGGAGCCCCCGAAAGCCAGGAGCTGGTCCGGGACCACGTGCACCGCGATGTACAGCGCCGGCTTGCCCGTGGCCTGCCTGCGCCAGCTGCTGGGTGAGATCGGAGAGGAGCCCGTCCGGCACAGAGGCGCGGGGCACGTTGGTGTTCACCAGGAATATCGACATGACGGCGAGGGAAGGCGGGGACAGGGATACAGGAACCAACCGACTCTCGTGTGAACGGCGCCCCGCCTATTATGTGCCTTTTTCTTCTTTCTACATCATAGCATAGTTTAGACTGTTTTTGTATCAGGACATCAGATATGCCATGCACATACATATCTTTTGGTTTGATTGAAACCATGTGCTTTTTCTTGTTTTAATTCTTTTGACTGATGTAGCTTAATTACTCCCAAAGTTTGTGTTTCTGAGAGAGCAATATTTAGTTGACTAAAAACTAGAAAAGTGGCAGTCATGGTCAGGACTTCTTTTTTGGATCTCTGGCGCATTTGAAGGACTAGGCAGTATGACCTAGCTTCTCTCATTTTACCTAGAGGGCTGGAGACCCAGTCGGGGCCCAGATGGCTCCAACCTATTGTTCTGGGTGAACTGGAAGAACAGAATAAAAATAGCTTCTACCCTAGCTGTAGGAAGTGTGCTTTAATCTGATTTGTTTTAGCTCAGCCTTCCAGGAACGAAGTATATTATTGCCTTAAGCGACTGCAGTAACAGAATGGGTATATAGGGTAATAATGGAGGAGAACTAATAATTTTTTTGGGGTTTTTTTCGCCTTTATTTTTCTTCTCATACATCAGTTATACTTGAATGAGAATGGCAAACATTATGTTCTCCAATAATGAGAAAATAATTTTAAGATAGTAAAATAATGTAACTCTAATTCTTGTAGCTGGCCAATTAGGGAGTTTACTTTTCTGTCACAGTCATGTACATAGTCTTGAGCCAGCTAATTCAGTTTAACAAGTATGAGCATTTCCTGGCTGAAAGTACAATTGTCTCTTTCAAAGAACCAGTATTAAGAATCAATTTGACAAGATCTTTAATATAAAGATTCTTGGAACATGGAACTATAGGTATAAAGTATCTCTTGTTAAGATACTTTTGATACATCCTCTTGGATGGCATCTAGGTTGTTATGTATATTGCGGAACCAAATATTTTTTGGAAGAACATACACAACATAGGGCTAAAAAACATTCACTATGTGCATGTCAGCAAATCTATCCTGGTTGTCCAAAATGAGGACTCTACCACCTTAGAAGTATTGTCGGGAATTTTTTGAAGTTATGTTTAAACTGCTTTCTTGGATAAAAGGTATATAATTTTAACACAAGTTGCTAACCTCTGCTGTATATTTCATGAAAGTTGGTAAAAAAAAATTTTAAGGATCCAAAATTTTACAATATTAGGATGTATCTTTTAACAGCTTTTTGTTTTTCATTGAAAATGCTGGTATACTTGGCATTTTTCAAATCTTTCCTGCTTTTCCATTTTCAGCATGTTGGGCTATTCTGCTTTCTATTTAACCCACCTAGTGATGTTCACTGTAGAAAGATAGTCCATATACAGGCTGACTTGGAATTTCATGTCTGACTTGGAATGAGTTCTTTACTACATGCACAGAGAACTAACATAAGGTAGAACCTGTGGAATGATGAGGTTATTGAGATGAGGGAAAAAACTGCATTATTTCCAAACTTTGTTACAGTGGAGCCAGTTAATGTGTGTACAGCTTAAACAAATACAGCTCCGAAAGATAAACACAATGCTACTTCCATTTATCCCATTTCAAAGCAAAATTAAATGCAGCTCATGATTCTCAAAATGTTTTGTTGATCTGGGAAACAGGGAACATATTTTTACATGCACAGATGCTTCAGAACATTTTCTGCATGGCTACCAATCTCCCAAGTAGGTTGATGATCAAAGTCCTAAAGTAACTGACAGTTCTTTGGGCCTAGAGATACTTTGTGACCCAGGAAAAAACCAACTTTGCACTCAGCCAATTTTGTTTCAATTAACATGCAAGATCAGATTCTCTGTCAGCAAATACCCTGCAGAAAAAACAGACAGAAAACACATTTGGAAAACATTAAGTATATTTAAACAGTTACTTAGATAATAAGTACATAGAACTATACCAAGGAAATCATATCTTTAAAGAAACAACTAGGAAGTAAAGCAGCACAGTGAACCGGTACGTACAAAGTCCTGCATTATACAAACTTCTTTTGGTGGAACTTTATAGGAACAGAGCAAGTGGGATGGGCTTTTAAGCAGATTGAATTTTATCAAACTGGACATCGTAACAGAATTCATTGAGAGGTAATATGTACATGCTCCCTTCAGGAAAGGAGCGCTAATCCACCACTGAACTACCCAGAGTTTAGACGTGGACTGAAATATTCCTGACTACCAAAAATATCTAGATATGTTAAACAAGATAAAACAGTGGAAATTTGCTTTAAAATACCTGTTGTTCTCTTTCTTAAATCTACATCTTAATATTAAATGTTCTTATCGTTGGCTATTTTGTTTTCTCAGAATCACCCAGGGCTCAGATTTACTGGTAAAGTTTGAAAAATTCTATTCTGAATTTTCTGTTGATGTCTGACCCAAGTACTGAAATAAAGCAAATTCACTTTATAGTCACATTATATATAGAATAAAACAGTTGCTAAGTTGTGGCGTCATTACACAAATAGGATACCTCCATAGAGAAATACGGTGATTTGTCCAAGCCATTCAGCTAGTTTAAAAAAATCAGAGAACTGGGCTTCCCTGGTGGCGCAGTGGTTGGGAGTCCGCCTGCCGATGCAGGGGACACGGGTTCGTGCCCCGGTCTGGGAAGATCCCACGTGCCGCGGGGCGGCTGGGTCCGTGAGCCATGGCCGCTGAGCCTGCGTGTCCGGAGCCTGTGCTCCGCAACGGGAGAGGCCACAACAGTGAGAGGCCCGCGTATCGCAAAAATCAGAGAACTCAGAGCCCTAGTGTCCTGATTGTTGATCTCGTGATCGTCTCATGACACCACAGTGCAAATGTGCCTGAGAGTTTGGCATGTGTTTGTTGTTGGGAGTTGAATGAAGAGGCTGGAGTAATAGTAAAAGGGCCAAGCACCCAGGAGATGGAAGCAATTATTCTACTCAAAGCTTCGCAATAGTAAAAAGGCTGGACATTCACAAGAAGAATTATTAAAATACTTTGAACTCCAACAAACATCAGTGGTAAGTGAAAATCTTTCCAGGAAGCCCTTCTTGAGCGCTCCGCATATTGACTTTGGGGCACATTTTAGTGAGATAAACCAGTGTTGACACGTTTGAATGTAATCACAGAATTACCATACACAGACAGTTCTGTTGTTCCTCACCACAGTCCCCAAAATGAAAAGCAGCAGGTAACAGGTAGCCAAGGCCACCTGACTCCTGGCTTTTTTTTGCAAAATAACCAAATGCAAACCACTGTTTTTCTTTTTCATACTTAGCAGCAAAAGGAAAAAGAGGTAAGGAAGGAGGCTGCCACCAAAGGCTGCTTGTGAGTTCAAACACAGTGGGACCACAGAATTTCGATGCATGGAACCTGTGCTGCCTTTCTTTCGATGTTCATTTTTTAAATGAAGCAAAACACATTAATAACTTTTAGAATATCAGCATAATGCAGCCTATGTTGTGAAACAATCTGTTCCTAAAACAATGTCCAGATGTTTTTTCCTACTCTATACTGAAAATAGGCTATACATCCACATTACAAGTGGTATAATTTGCTCCTCTGGTAGCTAGAGAACTTGGTAGAAGCCACACACCATCAAATGTAGACAGAATCATATCACATTATCTCAATTGATTCCAGTATTTCTAACTCCCAGACTGCTAAAAAATCTTCCCCACCTGTATAGCATGCTTTGCCCCCAAGATTCACTGCATTTACTGTTGAAAAGTAACTTCATGGTTTATGAAATTTAGAATACTGCAGGATCAAAATTAATTACTTCAAATAGCTTTTAACCCAATACTCTGTACCCCCTTAGTGAAATATGTTCCAAGAATAAGAACAATCACAACTTTTACACTTAAATTTTGGTAGTGATTTTGGTATAGTAATTCTAAAATAATTTTACGTGTCATGTAGAATCAAGCAAATAAGTTAATATTAATGTTGTTCAGAACCAAAGTTCTCACCATGGGAGAAGGAAGATACAAATATGGAACAGGGAAGGGTGAGGAAGATTAGTGTTAAATTTGAAATCAGAGTATCAGAATGAATTCATGATTTATAAAAAATGCATTTGCTGGCTCTGTTCCCTGAACGGCCCTAGGAGCAATGACACCCCAGCAGCACCCAGATCTTGATTTCCAAATACCATTCCCCATGAAAAGAAACTAGGGCTCCTTGGAGAAGAAGCCAATTCCCAGGCTGGGGCAGGAAAAGTGTATGATAAATCTAGAACATCTTGATACGGCAAAAAGCAAGAATGTGCTCAAAGACTAACAGACACAGATCAAAATGACCCATAAATAAGCTTAAAGGTGCTTCCACTGGCCAAATACAGACCATTTAGAGTAACTAATTGAATTTTTAAAAACAACGAGCCCACACTGATACTCAAAAAAGTGCTTCTTTAGTAAAAGAATGCCAGCCAATAAATGCAGACAGAATGCTAGATTTAGAAAGTCCCTATTTGCAGCCACCAATGTAACAAAATAATGGATTCCGGCAAGGATTATTAATGAATGCTAAAATCATTAAGTGAACAGGATATCCAAATGGTCTCCAAGTATCTCCTCCCAAATTATTTGCTTAAGAAAGGGATCTTAAAATAGAAAATCTGAAAGAAACCTAGTGAGCAAACATATATTGGCAATAATGTGACAATGACAGTATGTGCCTTGTGATGTGATGTGATGTGATGCGATGCGATGAATGGGACACACCACATGCCATCTATGGAGTCTTCTGCCAAAACATTTATCCTGAACCTACTCATGAGGAACAATCAGGGAAGCACAGAATTCTACAAGCTAACTGGCCTGCTTTTTCAAGTCAGTTTCATAAAAGATAAAAAAAGGTGGAAGGATTGTTCTAGAGTTTAAAAAAACCTACAGATGACAACCAAATGCCATGGGTTTGGATTCTGCATTTTAAACAAGACAAACGCTTTAAAGTACACTTGGGGGGAAACTGAGCCTCAGGTTTGAATGTGTACTATACATTAGATAACTATGAATAATCAATTCCTTGGGTGTGACAAGAGTATTATGATTGTGTAGGAAATGTCCTTATGTTTTAAGAGAGACACACTGCAACAGTAGCAGGTGAAGTACGACAATGCCATTTCTCTCAAAAGAAAAATGCTTTTTATAGAGAGAGATGTGATGCAATAACAATGGCTGAATACAGGGAAAGGATATATGGTTATTTCACTGTACCATCAACTTTTCTGTAAATTTGAAATTTTCAAAATTAAAAGTTGGAAGTAAAAAAAAGAAAAAACGGGGGAGGGGGTAGGACAGAAATAGCTTACAGATACCAGGAGGGTGCATTTGGGGGCTTTAGCAAACTGGAGCATCCCACTCTCAAATTTAACCAAACTCAATGAAGAGCCAGAAGTGGTGACAGGACAAACTGAGGAATCAAGCTAAGATGGCAAATTCCTAAACACCCTCTTCCTGTTAATTTAGACATGTGGATGGCAAGTAATATAAAGGTGTTGGTGAACGTGTTCTAATGTACCTTTATACATTTTACCAGCAAAAGACATAAAATGAAAATAAAAGGCAAACACCTTTCCCTTCTAAATTATAATTCCAAGGGGGATGAAGGACTGTCAGGGGAAAAAAAGGATTATTTTAAAGTTAATACAAAAAATAAAAAGTTAACACACTGACATTTTTGAGAAGTTGGCAGAATGATGAAACTACCCTAGATGTTTTCTCATCTAAACCTACTAAACAAACATTTGTAATCAGACATATACAATTAGACTAGAGGACATATTGTTTTAAAATCTCCCAAACCGAGAAAAGCACCATCACCAGTGTGGTGTTTATCTTTTAACAGCAACAAAAAAAAACTACCCACCAAGACTTTTTTTCTTTGAGCTTATTTTCTAATAGTAGACACTGAGTAAGCCCACACTGTTAATTCCACTATCAGTACATAAGATGCTGCCTTACATATGCAGCAATCGCCACCTTAAACTATCTCAGAAATATGGTTGCATTTCAAATACTGCTGGTAGACTGCTGAACTAAACACAGTACTGGAATTTGTATATAGACATTCAACTTAAAAAAGTATTTTTACTCAAATTTTATTTTAGATTATGAAATTAGCCTCCCCATTCCCACCACTTCCTTCTGAAATCCCCAACAAATACAGCAAAGTTAACAACTACATGGTGGGATAGTCATTCAAACTTTTTAATCTCCCTTTACACATTATATTAACATTCATATTGCAAGGCATTCCATTCACAAATATTACAGTTTGATAAAAAACTTCACACACATACCAGATTCAGCCACTTTACTAAATCATTAAAATAATAAAAGTAATGAAAACATTATA